AATCAAACGCAATTTTCTTCCTTATACCAACAAATATTACTTTGCATAGACTTTGCATAAATTTGCACAATTTTCTTCCTTATATCAACAAACATTACTTTGCATAGATTTTCTTTCTTCCTGATACATGTCAATTGAGATTCTATATTGAACATTTTTCAGGTTCAACTCATCTGTGTCACTATTCCTGTTTCTAGTCTCCACACCCTTCCTGTCTTCTCCCAGCACTATTCACTCACATCTATCTCTAGTTACACATTATTCTTACCTGGGAAGCTTTTAAAATATACCCATACCTGGGCTCCATTCCCATGACCTTCACTTAATTTGTCTGGGGTGGTATCTTGGCATAGATAAAATGTTTAAAGCTCCAGAGGTAATTGTAATATGCAGTCAAGGTTAAGAAGCCCTACTTTATGTACTACTGATCTTACAGTAATATTATTATTTGTGAAACTTGATCTCCCACTGGTATTTTCAGCACTTTAAATCAGAGACTGTATCTGATTCATATATGAATTCCAGTGCCTGCTGAATTTGAACTTTATGCCAAATACTCTGTGGGGTACTCCAGAAGATCCAAATTTCAATAGGCTATCTCGTCATCCAGGAAATCACGAACTGTTACCGAAGTATCAGACAAGAACAAACCTAATACAATCATAACTCTGACCTAATAAGGCTGTAAGGTGAGAAAAAATAAAATATTAGGATAGAGAGTCAAATCAAGTTGGGAAATCAGGAAGACATCATGGAGAGGGTAGAATCTTAGGACGATGATGTGTGGAATTTTGAATAGGATTATGTGTATGGTTTTGACAGAAAGAAACAGAAAACAGTGGGAAGATGAAAACAGAAGAATTTCTTGTAAAAGGGAACTGAGTAAGGAAAGAAGAGGTAGAAAAGTGTGAGGTCCATTAAGGAAACAATCTGAATAGCATTGAAGAAGCAACTATAGGAGAAGGTGGTGATGAAAGTAGAAAGTTGGTGGAGTGAGACCACGGATGCTTGGAATGCCCAGTGGATGATTGGGGATTCCCTGAAGGTTCCTGAGCAGAGGAGTCATATACTCAGACATTTGTACTTTAAAAAGATCACTCTTCCTAATTAATTATCTTGTAGCTTTTAAAATGAATTTTTATGTGATCTAAATTACATTATATGAATACTATAAGCAAGGCTTGCTTTTTTTAAGAGATTTTATTTATTTATTTATTATTTGAGAGAGAGAGTGAGAGAGAACATGAGCAGGGGGAGGGGGAATTAGTAGAGGAGAGGGACAAGCAGATTCTGCGCTGAATGCAGAGCCTGACATAGGGCTTGATCCCAAGACCCTGAGATCATGACCCAAGCCCAAATCAAGAGTCAGAGGTTTAACCAACTGAGCCACCCAGGTGCCCTTATAAGCAAGGCTTTCTTATACTAAAACCTTTTTCATTATGTGGTCAGTGTATTCATCAAAAAACAGTTCCCTAAGGAACAGACACATAAATTACATGTGTTCTCAAATGACAGTATTTCATTAGTATAACTGAGAAGAAAATAAGTGAAGGTGAAGTAGTGTAACAGCTATGGTAGTTCCCCTAAAAAACTGGCCTAAAATATTAGGGAAGTATCAAAATATTAGGGAAGTATCAAAATATTAGGGGAAGTATCAAAAGAAAAGAGGTGAAGAGAATTCCTTCACTTAATGTGCTTTTATTACTGACAAATGTAAATAAGTGTGTTAGTCTGTTACTTATTTCATGTAGTCAAATTTACTTTTCTGTTATTGCTTTTGACTGACAAATGCAATATTTGTTGTTGAAAAAGCCTGCAGAAAAATAATTTGCATAGTATGATGTCACTTTAGGCTGGAAGTCTTTGTTTAGATCACCTCTTACCTTGATGGACTGGCTGAAACCATGCTCATCTGTGTATTGCCTCAGCAAGCCATATTTGTCCTATATCACTGCCCTATGGAGTGCTTTTGAGATCCACACCAAATTGTTTTTTTAATTAAAAAACTTAATTGCATTTTGTCAATAAAGTCATTAGTAAAACAATGGGCTATATAACATATATCAAAAACCTAAAGCAAATCACTGTTTATAAGCATTGGATGCTCTTTTCTTTTTTATTTTAAATTTGATCCTAGAAAGCTGTGTGTGTGTGTGTGTGTGTGTGTGTGATTATGTATATATAAACATCCCAGTGAGAGGTGAAGAATAGTAAAAAATTCAGATATTCATGGAGATATTTAAAACTCAAAAAATATTATTCAGAACCTAACCACACAATTCAACATTTTCTTTAATAGTAGCATATAATAATATTTTAGGAAGTTACATGGTTAGGTTCCATGTATCATTACATGCCAACTCTATATGCTCAACTAGATTTTATGTGCCCTGTGGACAGTTTTCAGTCTTTTAACTGTGTTATAAACTCTAACATTTGATTGAGAAAAACAAATAGGTTAGATGAATTCTCAAGATTAGAGACTTCTAGTTCCACGCAAGATGCAGTAAACACAATCTATTTTACTTCTCTAATTATAAAAAACACTCTAGTCAAAACCTGTAAGTCATTTATCAGAAGAATCTAAGAGGTGGAAAAATGAAGGCAGATTGACTAGGTGCCTTGGGACTTAAAGAATAACATGACAGTGAGTTCCATAGTTTTTTTTTCCCTTGTCTCATTTATCCCAGCGATGCAAAATGCCAGGTAAAAGTGGCATCCAAGAAAAGCCAAACAACTAGTAAAGGGTGGCCAAACAGAACAGAAAACTTTGAATCACACTTGTCTATTCTAGGGGTGATATCACAAAAATGGCAGGTTGCTCCCCCACTCAAATAATGGTGCAGCAAGGGGTCAGTGAGAAACGCCCCTCCCTGGTAGAGCCCATGGACAGAAACCTGTAGTGTAAACTCCCATTCCCAGTTCAACAAAGAGATGGATTCTTTCCCCATTAGTTCTGTGATAACTGACTTCCAGCCTCCATGAATTAAATAGGAGGCGCCTCTCCCCTCAGAGCACCTGGTTGCAATTCCGATTTCTACTCCCTGCTGAAATAATAAGGCAACAGAATAACTTTCTGCAGCAGAAGGTTTTGGGGGAGGGTGTGACTATTAAGGGATTACCTGAGGGAGTTCCTTGGTGGTAATGGAATAATCCTTTATGATTACCTTAATGATAGTTACCCTAATCTACACCTGTGATAAAATTTCATAGAACTCTATCTATGCCCTTTCAACCAACCAAACACAAAAACGAAACCTGGAGTAATCTGAATAAGGACTATATCTAAATTAATAGTATTGTACCAAAGTCAATTTCTTTCTTTCTCTTTCCTCCCTTCCTTCCTTGCATGCTTGTGTGCTTTTTTAGTGAGAGAGAAAGAGAGAAAGAGAGTGAGCATGTGAGCGGGAGAGGGGTGAGGGGCAGAGAGAGAATCTTAAGCAGGTTCCATGCCCGGTGTGGAATGCAATGTGGGGCTCATCTCATAACCCTGAGATCATGACCTGAGCTGAAATCAAGAGTTGGAAGCTTATCGGACTGAGCCACTCAAGCAACCCCCAAAGTCAATTGCTTTAAAAAAAGAAAAGATAGGGGCGCCTGGGTGGCTCAGTCAGTTAAGCGTCTGCCTTTGGCTTGGGTCATATCCCAGGGTCCTGGGATCGAGCCCCACATCGGGCTCCCTGCTGGGCGGGAAGCCTGCTTCTCCCTCTCCCACTCCCCCTGCTTGCGTTCCTGCTCTCACTGTCTCTCTGTCAAATAAATAAATAAAATCTAAAAAAAAAAAAAGATATATATATTATTAGTTTATATATTAATATAATAGTATATCAGTTATTCAATTCTAACTTACAGTTTTTTTTTTTTTTTTTTTTTAGAGAGACAGTGCCAGCAGGGAGTGGAGCAGAGGGGGAGGGAGAGAGAGAATCTCAAGCAGACTCCCCACTGAGCGTGGAGCCCAAGGCGGAGCTCCACCCTGAGATCATGACCTGAGCTGAAATCAAGAGTCAGAAGTTCAACCAACTGAGCCACCCAGGCGCCCCAGTTCTAACTTACTTTAATGCTTTCTTCCTGAATATCTGGACACTGAATAACAAATGTGTTATGTGATAAAACTTTTTTAAAAATTCTGATTTTGCCACTCAGATTTTCTAATACTATTACTAAACCAATATGACTAAGAATAACTATTTTCCCCTAATTTTCAAAATTTGGGATCGTAATCCAAGAAGAGTCACGACTTGAAAAGGAAAGGAAAGTTACTCTTCACACCTAAATAACACTCTTTATGGTTTACGTGAGTATAGGCATATTATAGGATAAGCTCAGTACATGGGGGTGAGTACCTGGGGGATAAACTACTGATGCAACATTTTAAAGTAACCGAACACACAAAAAATTGAGGAAGTATAATAAAATTATAAATGACAGAGATAATACTTTGGTTTACGTGTCATGCCTTGTCCCTCAGGAGTACAAGATTTCTCTTTTAATCTCACCATTTAACAGATAGAGTTCTATATTGCTGTCTCTTTTTCAAATGACACAATTAAACGATAGGCAGTTATGTGCCTGGTCTTAGGCCACAATGGAAATCACTAGCAGGGTCCGACTCATAAATCAGGACTCATGCTCTCCATCAAGTGTCTTCAGCTTCACAGTTAAAGTAGACCATCTTCAGCTAAATCTCCACATGAATACCATTCCACTGAATGAGCCATAGTTGATACTAGAATATATCTATTTTTTAGTAGCATGGTTTCCAGAAGATTTTTCTGCCAGCATAGTGCTACTCCATTAGCAACATACTCAGGCATTTCATTTATTCTAATTTAATTTGTGTTCAAGTATTTTTTTGGACTTTCGACAACTTTAAGTTACTTCATGGGTCAGAGATGTCAAGAACTACTCATTGTGATGGACCCAGCTTCTTCATCCTAACCTTATAAACAAACTTCCCCAAAGGGAAGATAATATCATTAATGCATCTTGTCATCACTTACTTTCTTCTTTCCATTTCAAATCTATGGAGTAGTTTCCGAAGACCACCATTCTTAAATCCCTGAAAATGGGCAGCTGGGGCTCCCACAGTGATGACATCATAGAGAGCATCTGGAACAAGAATGGACAAGGAGATTAACACTTTGCAAACATTTGTCTCCAGCATGCTATCTGCATTGAAGCATACACACTGTGGGACGTTTGAGAAATTATTCTGTTTAATTTTGCAGGACTAACTGAACTCTCATCTCAAGGGGGCAAGAGGAACTAATCAATCTTTCTAAAAGCCACCTGTGCACCTATACAAGTTATAATATTTCTTTTATTTATGACTACATCTTAATTATATCCTACTATGTGGAACAGTACGTTCCCTCATTCTTCTATATACTTACTGAGATAACATGTTAATTGGTCTTTTGTGTATTTTGCCTTATTGAGTTTTGCATCATTTAATTTGCAATCATATTGAAATTCAACAATAATGAACAATCTTTACAGAGAAAAGAACCAAAATATTAATTCATCTTGGCTCAAGGGCAGAACAGTACTAGTGCATTTTTATCTATACAGAGTAGTTTCCTTTCTGTGTATACTGAATCTTACAGTTTTGAAAGCATACTTTTGCAATTTTCTTAGATGACACAGAAAGAATACACACAATGTCTCTAGGTCTATTTTCCACCATGATACTTTGTTTTGTTTTTAATAAAAAATCCATACATTTAAATTGAAACTCAATCCTTTGATCTTGAAAGCCATCAAGTTTGATACATATTAAGTTTATGGCTTCAAAACACAGCGTCATTTTTACCTTCTAATGAAAAGTATCCCCATAAGAAGGAAGACAGAGTGAACATCTCTTGTTAAACTACATTTTATTTGAGAAACCTAATTTCATAGTAGATCCTTTTCAAATTGATTTTGGTACTGACACTGGTTGTTTTTCAGTTCTCATTTACAGGGAAAACATAAATTATTTTATTAGCTTCAGGTAAACACCATAACTTCTTTATACTGGTTCAATCCAAGTGCACCTGAAATATTTTTCTTAATAAAAAATGGCTTCAAGTGAAAGACTTCAGCAACACTGAGAGAACTCAAGGTCACACAAACAAAACAAAATAAAACAATACAGAAAACAAACAAAAAAAACCCAGAATGTAACCCAAATCAACCTATCAATAAGGCACTTACTGAACTGCCACTCAACAGATTGTTAGTGGTAATCTCTAGTGACTTTTAAAAAGTCACTAATAAACTAAAAATTAGCTTTTCTTAATATAGCAGAATATTAGACTTGCATGAAATTTAAAGACTTCTTCATCCTGGAGATTTTAATCTAGGGTTAAGAAAAGGGTTTCGGGGAGTCCATAAATATATGCAAATTGTGTAAGTATGTCTGTTCTACTTCTGGAAAAGGGTCACAGTTTTCTCAAATGGTCATGAGAACACCCAAAAGTTACCAACACTAAATTCCAGTCCACTTTCATTTATCTGATGAGAACTCAGAACCTTGAGAAATGACCTGCTTTGTCTAAAGTCCCAAAGACCTTATACCTATAGTCTTCTGACTTCTAATCCAGGGATGGAAAGCCAGGGGTTTAAGTTACTGACTGGAACCTGAGTCCCTTGCTCTGGATCCCGGCTCTGCCACTTACAAGCTGTGCAGCATTAGGAAAATTACTTAACCTCTCTATGTCTCAGTTTCCTTAGGTAGATAATGAAGTTGAAAGTAGTTAAAAGTGGTGAGCATTCACTATTACCTATGATTATTTTCCCTATAAGAAGTAATCCTACCAATGAAGCAAAGAAAGATAATATTTTAAGTTTTGCTTATTTACCATGAAAATACACTTTTCAGTCTGACAAGGAAAGTAATAATGAGCCTCAGTCTTCTGAATAGAATCAGTTCCTGTGTTAATTTAAAGTAAATGCAAAAAGAGACATCACCGTCATGCTGCCATGAAATATGCTGCATTTCTGCTAAAACCTGGGTGACCAACAATACCAACAATAGATAGAAGTAACTAAAAACTGTATACATATGTCCCATTAGCCCAAACTAAATGCATTCCTAACTGATTTTTTTTTTTTTTTAATTGCCTGTAGACTCTCACTGGATTCAAAAAAAGTTTGTGGCCTCTCCAGCACCACCTAGCAAGAGGGGAATAATGAGGGAAGGGAAAATCTGAGTAGAAAGAGAGAACAGTCTTAACTGATGGAGGTTAAAATAGCTTACTTTTGTAAAATTTGCAAAACACCTGACCACAAACAAGTTGCTAAGGCCCCTTGCAGGATCTTGTAAGAGGCCCATTCACAGGAAAAGCCCCAAACTTAAGCTGTACTAGCTTTCTAGTGAATCTGTCTCTTCAATTCACCTATAGTTTCAGCATTTTCCAAAGCTACTTTCTAGGAGCAGAAATTTTCTCTTTGTTTATCCACTCTGCTCAGAGGAATTCTAGTCACATATGAAGGAACCATGAAACTTGGAAGCAGCAGGTAAAGGAAGAGAAGCAAGTTGCTCAAATATTGTCCACTCTTCATAATAAAGAGCTGATTATTTTTAAATCTAAATGAAGGCATGTGTGTTTCTTGAATCCAACTACAATAAAGAACTTCCAAGTTATTAACAAGTTCTTTCATATCTGAAGTTCTGACTTTTACTTGTTTCCATTCTATTTTCTGTTTATGAGCTCATCCAAGTTGTAGGTGTTCAATAAATGTCAATAAATAAATATTCTGAGGCTTAATTCAGTTTGTCTTATATGTTTTTATAGATCATATAAGGGATTATTATTCTTAATTGAAGAAATAAAAAAAATGTATATACACTATCCAGAAAAAAAACATATAGGAATCTGAAATATATATGTGTGTATGTGTATATATATATATATAATATATATAATATATATAATGTATATATGTGTGTGTGTGTGTGTGTGTGTGTGTATAATCTCCATGGGATGGGGATGAATACATATCCACCCATGGACCATATTATATAAAAGAACAAAGAGAATTTATGATTATTCACATGCAAAAGAATGAAATTAGACCCTTATCCTATAGCATGCACAAAAATCAACTCAAAATGGATTAAAGACTTAGACATAAGACGTAAAAGTGTAAAACTCCTAGAAAAAAACATAGAGAAAAAGTCTTATGATAATTGGTCTTTTTTTTTTTTAAAGATTTCATTTATTTATTTGAGAGAGAGAGAATGAGAGATAGAGATCATGAGAGGGAAGAGGGTCAGAGGGAGAAGCAGATTCCCCGCTGAGCAGGGAGCCCAATGTGGGACTTGATCCCAGGACTCCAGGATCATGACCTGAGCCAAACTCAGTCGCTTAACCAACTGAGCCACCCAGGAGCCCCATAATTGGTCTTTACAGTGGTTTCGTAGATATGACGCTAAAAGCATAAGCAACAAAAGCAAGCAGGACTATGTCAAACTAAAAAGCTTCTGCATAGGTAAAGAAACAAGAGACTAAAAAGGCAACATACAGAAGAGAAAATATTGGCAAACCATATATCTGATGAGAAGTTAATCTCCAAAATATATAAGGAACTCCTACAACTCCATAGTAAAACAATTAATAACCTGACTAAAAAATGGGCTAAAGGCTTAAATAGACATTTTGACAAAGAAGACATACAAATGGCCAACAGGCATATAAAAAAATGTTAAATGTTATTAATCATCAGAAAAATGCAAATCAAAACTACAATGAGATACCATCTCACACCTGTAAAAATGGCTACTATCAAAAAACACAAAAGACAGTGAGCGTTAGCCACAATGTGGACAAATTGAAATCCTTGCACAGTGTAGAACTATCATGGTTCAGTAATCCCAGTTCTGGGTATTTATACAAAAGAACTGAAATCAGGATCTCAGAGAGATATGAGCACCTCTATGTTCAGGTAAGCACTACACATAATAGGCAAGATATGGAAGCAACCTAAATGTCCGTCAGTGGGTGCTGTATACATATAATGGGATGCTATTCAGCTTTAAAAAGGAAGGAACTTCTGTAATATGCAACAGTAGGGATAATCCTTGAAGGTATCAAGTGAAATAAGCCACAGAAAGACAAATAATTCGTGATTCTACTTGTCTGAGGTATCTTGGTAACAATGTTTCTATAAAATTTGAATTCAGTTTTATTTTTTATTTTTATTTTTTAAATTTGAATTAAGTTTTAATATACTGTCTAAAACAGGAAGAAATACAGAATTCCTTTAAAAATGTCTCACCACATATAAAACAAAAGAACCCAGTAACTTTGTGAGGAGATAAATATGTAAATTAACTTAGCTATAGTCATCATTCACTATGTACATATATGGCAAAATATGTTATATACCTGAAAATATATATAATTTATATTAAAACACAAAAACATATTTATTATTGAGATACTTTTGCAAATTTTAATTTTTGAGATAATTTTGGATTTCCAGAGTTGTGCAAAGTTAGAACAGAGTTCTGTATAGCCTTCACTCAAGCTCCCTATGTTAATATCTCACATAGTCATAGACTATCAAAACTAAGAAATTAATATTGTACTATACCATTAAATAAAGTAGATAATGTTAGGATTAGTTTTTCCACTAACACCCTTGTTTTTTTCAGGATCCAGTCTAGAATTCCACATTTCATGTCACTGTCATGTAGTCTCCTTTAATCTATGACAGTTTCTCAGTCTTTCATTTTTGATTGTGACACTTTTGAAGAGTACTGGTCAGTTATTTTGTAGAGTGTCCCTCAATTTGGGTTTGTCTTATGTTTTCTCATAATTAGACTGAAGTTCTGCACTATTGAGTAGGATACTATGGAGGCGATATGCCCTTCTCAGTGCGTTAAAACTGGGAGTATGTTAAATTGATATATATTACTTGATGTTACCCTTGATGCATTGGTCAAAGTGATGACTGCCACTACCTACAGTTGATTCTTCACTGTAAAGTTACTAAAGATTTAGAGAGACATATTTTAATGCAATATTCTGTTTCTTTTCAGACTTGTGCCCACTAATTTTAGCATCTATTGATGTATCTTGGCTGTGGCAATTATTACTGCTGTGGTTGAATGGTGATTTTCC